CCTCCAACCTAGTAGCGATGGCCTCCAACCTAGAAGCGATGGCTTCCAGCCTACTTGTGGTGGCCGCCAACCTAGAAGCGATGGCCTCCAACCTACTTGTGATGGCCTCCAACCAAGAAGCCTCCACCTAGTAGCTTCCTATACGTTTTATTTTTTCCACATGAAACTTCAGTTTCCATTCTGTGGCATGGGGCCGAAACGTAGGTATTGAACTCACACAGGACTTGGCTTTTGGACCGCGACCACAAGGCCTTCTCTCCCACAATGTGGGCTCTCTCAGAAGGTGGCAACTGGTGGTAATGTGTCAATCATCCCGGTAAACATTGCAAACCATATTTGTCGCCGCAACAAATTATCCTGCATCTTGCATGAAGTTCAATCATCTGCTCTTTGTGCTTTTATTTGTTAGATGTTGTCATCAAGGTCAAAACATGTCGTCAAAACATGTCGAATGTTCTGTCATCTAAGTGGCTTGATCGCTGCCTCGTTGGCTTCGGTGCCAGAGTTGCAAAAGAACGCCTTATGAGATTGGAGCTTCAAAAGCTCGCCACGAGTGTCAGTGTCAGAAGTGTGTCGAACCTGAGATGAGTGTACATTGTAGGTAAGCACTAAAACCGTTTACGAGACCAACACCGACACATGTGCGTAAGGCCTTGTCAGCAAAGGACAGCTCAACCAAGCGTTGGCCCAAACGGATCTGCTCCTCATTCCTAAGCCGATGGAGGGCCATGGATAGAATATTAAGCAGCCAGGTCTCATGAGATGAGCCATGGTCCAATGTTCTCTGCCAGAGTACAGATTTCTCACCATTACTATATATAGCTAGTCACTAGCTGCTAGTGGTTAAGCAAAACGATCTGAAACTGATGCGACCACCACAACAGCCGAGGATCAAGTAAAGGTTGGAAGTGTGGCACAACTTGCTGGCTTGCTCCGCTACTGTTTGGGCCCAACCTTCATCACTGTGGCCCAAGCAATTCACTGCAATGCCTGCTGTAAAATCCAAGAAGGACTCACCATCGTTGTCCTGCAAAAATTGTTCGACCACCCGAGGCTTCTGTATGCAGATGCATTGTAGATACCAGAGTTTCAGATCGGTATATTAACGAATGATAGTTTCAGCTCGGGCCTTGAGGATATGGCCTTGACCTTCTCGGAAAATCATCTGCCGCTCGCCGTAGTTGTTCAACAAATTCCTCCCATCTCCAGGTTCAAGGGCAGAATCAACTCAACTTGTTGTCAAAAACAACTGACATCCATGCTGAAGGCCTTGAAACTGTTGAAACATATCGGACAAGAACATTAAGATGTCGCGGGACATCATATCGCTGAAACCCTTGAAGACATTGGGCATGCGGCATACTTAAGAAACTTACAGTAAAGAATGAGAGCTGTCAGAGTTGGCCCCAAAAGCGCAGCTTGTTCTGCAAATCGAGGCACGCTTTGGCGAGCTCCCGCAGCTCTGAAGAGGTGGCTCGGAGGTTTCGAGCCTTTCAATCCAATTTGCATCTCGAAGAAGTGAAGAATGGACGAAACATGTTGAGTAAGAAACGCAAGACGTTGGAAATGTATCTCAGCATACAAAGTGAACATCCGAAAGCACAGAAGAGCACAGCAAGCACACAGCAAAGCCAAAGCCAAACAAATCGCCTTTCGTCGCACCTGACGCACTGCCAGTGGCACCGCGAGCGCCGCGGCACCAGAGGCGCCTCGCAGCGGTGCGGCGCTGTGTGGCCTCGCACGGTCCGGGGCGTGGCCTCTCGACTTGTGTCTTCGAGTTCCTAGTAGCTTATTGCTCCTAGTAGCGAGGCCCTTGCTCCTACAAGTAGTAGCCTCTTGTTCCTAATAGCGATGGCCTCCAAGTTGAAGATTCTGAAGATTCACACGGTTTTGGCCATAAAACCAGCAAAACCATGCACTTCATACTGTTTCCTGGCTGCACCTTGCGCTGGATCTGCTCAGAGCAGTGGGTGGGGCGCATGGCTGCGCAGGGTTGTAGGTTGAAAGCATGGCTCAAGTCTGGTCACAGGGTCCCCCCGTGGCAACTGAAACGGCTGAAAGGATCACAGTCATCAAGGAAGCACAAAGGAACGTAAGAAACGTTGGACTTGCTCGACATCCTTTTCATTCAGTCTTGAAGTTGGGAAAAACATGATCCTGGTGCCGGACCAACACGTTGGCAAAAAACGTAGCTGAAATAGTATGGTGTCTTTTTTGTTCCTTCCTGATTGATTTTGAACCCCAAACTCCATGTACAGCAACTAAAGGAAGCTGGCATAGGTTGGCCTTTGACCTGATTAGCAAAGTGTTAAACATGAAGTGCTACAGTAGTTACCTCTTATTTCAATCTGACATGATCACCATGCTCTGGCCTGCCAAAGACTCAATGGATGAATTGACACCAAAAGCCTCCCCAAAAAAAGCGATCGTCTTTGATCGGCTCTCTCTCTCTCTCTCACCTCTCACCTTGAAGCTACTAGGAACAAGTGCATCGCTACTAGTAACAAGCGCCTTACTAGTAGTAACAAGAAGCTATTAGAAACCATTTTCAAGCCCCATCTCTCTCTCTCTCTCTCACCTCTCCATTCCGAATTTCAACAAGCAATTCGACTCCGACCGGAATTCCAACGACTTGAAGCCTGGACAGATTGAATACGGAATTGAGCATCAAAACACAAGTTTAACGCCCTATGCGGCAGTAGATACCTCAGTAGGTTTCACCTGCACACTTCTGTACACTTCCTGGTGCAAGGAGGCTCGGACGAGCATGTTCAAGCATTTTCGTTCGCCCCATCTTCCACAGGAGCCCCAGCAGGACGCCGCGAGGTCTCAATGCTCGCCGCACGGTGACCAACGCCCGCAGAGCCAAACCAAGCCTCGGAACAGAGAAACACAGAAACACGTGGGCAACGACAAAACATGCTGGGTTTCTGGGAAAATTGATGAAAACACGGAAGCACGGCACAAGATATGACGTCACCAATATGTTCGCAGTGCTTCTGTTTCTATTCGCTAATGACGTATAATCCAAAACAGGACAATGTCCAGGCAAGGCAATCGAAGCAAAACCATTCATTTTGATGCACACGTGAACAGACTCAATACGATGCTGCTCAAAGAACCACATGCAGCACATGCTCTCGCCAGGAAGTTGCAAGAGTCGAATCAAAAAGATAAGAACTCGAGAGGGGGCGAGAGAGGGAAGGAATCTGTCTGTGATTGACATGAACAAAACAACATGACATGTTTGGCCATGATTCATCTGACTTTGACTTCGATTCTGTGGTAGGCTCACTTTGCCAAGGCACTCGCCACAAAGTAAATAGTCCATGGTGCCTTTGTCCACAGCCTAAGGCGTGGGAAAACGTCACACTGTGCGGCGCTGGACGAGGCGCGGCTCGAGTCCTCCGAGGTCCTGACGAAATCAAAGCGCTCTTCTCCCAAAGAATGCCTCGCGCGTCGTCAACGGGGGGGTAAGGCCGTGAAGTAGGCAGGTATAGCTAGTACAGCTAGTAGTTATCGGTAGCTACTAACTAGGACGCATAAATACTTCACGCGTGCGCTGTTCATTTGGTTCCTAGATGTTTAGGGAAACTTAACTTAACAGTCCCAGTGGTTCATGTTCATGTGTTGGCTTCATTTCGTCTCTCAACCCCCACAATGTGCCAAGCGAATGACACAAAAATACGAAGAATAGGCTCACCCCTCATGGGTTGTAGCGCTTGCATGTCCTGCATGAGCAGATCATGAGCCTCGTCACGTCAACTTCTTCGAACACCAGTCCTGGATCTTTTGATAAACCAACAACTGCTATGCCAGTGAACTTGCCTTCCATATCTCTCTGTTTCAAAACCGTATCGTGTCGTATCGATAATATTGCAAACCGAAAAGTGGCATCATGCAATTGCAAGCAGAGAGGCTGAGCAGGTCAGCTAGAATCCACTAGTTCTACCCTAAGAATGTTCTGATAGGAAATCGATGCCAGCGTTTAGACAAAGTTGCAAAGAGAACGCTTTCTAAACATGACCGATTACCCCACAAAGAAAAACACTAGTTCAGAAGATTTGGAGATGAAGCTACTAGGAACAAAGGACGCTACTAGGGGCTCCTGGCCGTACTACTAGGAGCAAGAACGCTACTGGGGGCTCCTGTATGACACAGTCCCTTATCCGACCGGTGGCTGAGTCAGCCGAGTCCGTCATGGGTGGCATGGAGCTCGTTCTGTGAAGAAATCACCGCCTGGGATGTGATCTTGTTGCAATTTGGCTCGTGCAACAATCAGGTTGAATCGCCTAGCAGCTGGCTACTCACCCAGGTCTACACTCAGGTTCCTGATACTAAAACCGATCACATGAATGTCTGGGCTCCCAAGCAGCATCCACATCGACTGCAACTACCCTGTGGCCGTGGTTCAGTCTTTGAAGCCTAGGGTTTTTGTGGTAGACCCGTAAAAACAATGAAGGAACATTAAGATAAAAACAATATACTGGTGATGTTTTGTCTAAATTATTATATACAGTATTTAAACATATGCAAAAAAATACAACAAAGCATTCAAAACAAGATGCGCATACATACGTCGGAAAGGCAAACTGCTAAGATCGCAGGACACTCTTGTGGGACATTCTTGTAGGCCACTTCAGTCGTGCACGCCAAAAGTAACCCGTCAATGTTTCAAAGCAACCACTTCTGATAAGACTTCCTCCATAAGTGAAGCGGGATGTCTCACCAAAGCGAAGACATCACACAGCCGTGGCAAGAAGTTTCGTATCCAAGCCCCTTCAACGAGCGACCGCTGACGCGACAATCACCTGCACCAAACGTCGCGACGTCCGTTCCCTGCATCTGTCATGCAAACAGCTCACCAGCTCCAACATGCACAGAGTATTGCGCCCGCAACAAACATAAAGCCACACCTTCACATATCTTCACTGCGACACGTTTGGGGCTTCGACACAGTGCTTTGTCCGAGACTTGTCAAACCGAGCTTCAAATAGAACAGCGCTCCAAGAAACACTTGCGTTTCTGCCGAACGGAACAAGCACGCTACGAACGGAGCATTTCGGGCATCGCTACGAACGGGGGCGACCCTGGCCTTACTACGAACACTTCATGCTTCCATCCAAGACCTCCTCCATCAGCTTCCCCCAACGGGAGGGCTTTTGGTTCACACGGCAGAGGGTTGCAAAAAAGGTCGTGAACGTGAAACAAACGTCACGCGAACAAGCTACTTGTACCCCCAGACCCCCAAAGTTAAACGAGAACCTTTCGCTAACTTTGAACGAGAAAAGGGAAAACGAAAAGCAACTTCTGTAGCCTGGTCAACCAGTCGCAGACCGACCTCCTCTCTCCGTTCTTCCAAAGCGCGAATGGAAGGCTCGATGTGCCACAACCCACGTCAAGCCTTGCAACGCAGCTGAGTCAACAACTCAGCTGAGTCTCAGAGTATGATCTCCGTCCTCGGAGTTGTTCGAACAAATAATCACTGTTGGATGCCAAGAGACACATCCAGCTGATCCTGGCAATTTTATCTCACACTAAGTCTAGTGTAATGAGTCAGTTCTATTTCAAGGCGTTCAAGCAAGGGAAAGAAACATCGACCCTTTAGCAATGCAGCATCAAAAAAGCACCAACATGTCAAAGATGCCATGTTTACGCACACAAATTCACACAACGACGCCTTGCTTGTAGTCGAGGCCAGGGCTGCCTGTGCACGGTGACCCATCTCTTCATTTCTGTGCAATGGTTTCAAAACGGTTGTCCGTCAATGTGTGACTCAATCGGGTTTTACTTGTCGCTCCCTCTGACAAAAAGTGTCCTCGCCTCCAAAATGGGCGCCAATGTCTCATGATCTTCGCACCAGTCCTTGGGTCTGTCGAAGATCATGCTGAGACTGCCACAGCGTGCAGGCGCGACAAAGTCAGCAGGTGTGTCTTTAGGAAGCTGACTTGAAGAACGGACAAAACTCGTGGAGACATCTTCTCACCAAAATATCGACCAAAAGCTTGAAGAGCTGCTATGGCATGTCACTATCATGTCTTCTTCTGACGTTGACCATCACGCACATAGCTTGTGGAAGAAAAAGGTCTATTTTGACATCACCCAGCTTTGTATTTGCAAGACAAAGTGGAAGTGTACGGGTACCTGTCCTGAATATCCTGATGT